TGCCTCTACCCCAGCAGCTGCCAGCCGGTCACTGGGAACTGCAAACCACATTGGGCATCCTATGGGCTGTGGATGATCAGCTCCTCCTAGTGGTCAGTGTCACACACAGCCTGGGGCTGTTCCTCTGCACGGCTGTGGAGCAGCATCACTTCACAGTCACTGTGCACACCCCAGCTGCTCCTTCGCGGGCTGGTCTCCTTCCCTGTGTGATGCAGGGTGAGCAAGGCATCAGCTTCCTCCCACCTCTGGGGACATTAGTCACGATATGGGGTAGATGCAATGGCCGCAATGAAGTTTGCTCCCATGCTGTGTCTGTGCCAAAATTCCTGTGGGAACAGAGCATCTGCAAACCAGCATAATTGAGGATCATACAAGTATCCAGCTTTTGCCTATTACATGCCCCAGGCCATGCCACACGAGGCTGTTAGAAAAACCCTCTTAATGGGCACAAACTCCCTTAAAGGGCTCTGTGCCATTGCTGCTCAGTTCTCATTCTGGACGTAAAAGTTGAAAACACCTTGGGTTGCTGGACTATTTATTCCAGTCCTCAGGAGGTCTAAGTGAGAAGGGAGAAGTGCAGCTGTGGTGGAACCTGGTGGGACTAGGGTGGGGCGGGTGGAAGGTTATTACCACGCCGCAGCTGGGCACCACTGAGGGTGAATTGCTCAAAAGCAGGGCTACTTACGGCCCAAGACTGGAGTCAACAAACCAGTCACACAGAGCACTTCAACTGCCAATCTCATCAGGAGGAAACCTCACAAGCAAAATCCCTCAGACGCTCCCAGCTTTCCCTGTGTTACAGTCAGGCCCAGACCTTACACACAGACGAGAGGTTATAAAACCAATCTCACCAACTCCAAACTAGTTCTCTCGGTTTCAAAAGACCAGCCACAGCCTCTGGTCAATTTATGCCTCAGGATCGTACCCATAAGAACTTGCTGGGCCAAACCTTTAGCATCTGACATCTAAAGGTTCATTGATAAAAGGAAGAAAAGGGTTGAGAGTGAGATTGTTAAAGAGAACACATTCCAACCATCAAACACCAAGTGCTTGATGCAGGTTCTTAGCACAGATGGTACGAACTGCAAGCTTAAAAGTCTCTGGTGTACATCCTGTGACAGGATGGGTCAGTAAATCCTTTCCGGCTCTCTGTCCCTAGCAAGGATTTATCTGGAATCAGAAGCAGGACTGAAAACAAGACGGAGATGCCTTCCTGGGATTTTTATATTCCTGGTGTCTCCCAGACTGGAGCTGATCACATGATCAAGTGACTCTGTATTTCACATACAAGTAGCCATTAATGTAGCTGTGTGTTGGGCACTCTCAGAGCCATTTTCCATGAAGCAATGCTTGTTAGCACAGCCATTCACTGTATAACCATTCCTCACAATAGGGAGGCCAGACTCATTGCTCCCTTGCAGATAGACAACATTTAAAGTACAAGCACAGAGCCCATATCCATCACTTCACATACCAAACTCATACAATCATGTGACTAACAGACATAGAATCTGCAGAGCATTTGACACCTTTCATTTGACACCTCACATGGCCCACTTTGTACAGAACTTGGAGCAAACACCCCAGCTACGTCTAGACTGGCATGATTTTCCGGAAATGCTTTTAATGGAAAAGTTTTCCGTTAAAAGCATTTTTGGAACAGAGCGTCTAGATTGGCACGGACGCTTTTCCACAAAAGCACTTTTTGCGGAAAAGCGTCTGTGGCCAATCTAGATGCGCTTTTCCACAAAAAAGCCCCGATCGCCATTTTTGCGATCGGGGCTTTTTTGTGGAAAACAAATCTCAGCTGTCTACACTGGCCTTTTTGCGCAAAAGTTTTGCTCAAAAGGGACTTTTGCCCGAGCGGGAGCAGCATAGTATTTCCGCAAAAAGCATTGATTTCTTACAGTAGGAAGTCAGTGCTTTTGCAGAAATTCAAGCGGCCAGTGTAGACAGCTGGCAAGATTTTCCGGAAAAGCAGCTGATTTTCTGGAAAAACTGGCCAGTCTAGACACAGCCCCTCAGTGGGAGGAACAGTGATCTACCTGCTCATATTAAAATCCAAGGGTATGTCTAGACTGCATCCCTCTGTCGGCAGAGGTTTACAGGATCTGTGGAAAAAGGCTTTCTTTCTTGACAGATCCCCTCTAGACTGCTGCTTTTTGCTGACAAAGTGCTGAGTCGGCAATACACGGTGGCCATTTTTATGCAAATTAGACACCGAATATTTAAATTCCTGCCTCATTTGCAATGTTGACATGCCTAATCTGCATCCCTCTGTCAACAGAAGGATGCTGTCTAGTAGACATCCACAGTAGACATACCCCAATAGCGTGCCAGAGGTATGGTGGCCCTTCTGCCTAGTCCTGCACTCTGTATTGCTCATGAGAACTATCATCCTTTACATGCTGATCCAGCCAACTCTGTTGCCCGTCCTTGGGCTGATTTTGTCAGAAATTCTAAAAGCTTCAGGGGCGGAAGCTGAGTTCATCTGTGACTGGAAAATCTTAAAAACAACAAACAGTCTAGCAGCACTTTAGAGACTAACAAAACATGTAGATGGTATTGTGAGCTTTTGTGGGCACAGTCCACTTCTTCAGATGGATTCAGTTATTAAAGAGCCAGTTTTGAATTAAATAGGGGTTGGGGGAGAAGAGAAGGTAAAAAAAGGGAAAGAAATAGTCAATTAGAGTCTCCAAGCTACATGAAGCTGATAGACAAGTTGCAAACTGCTGTTAAGTACCCAAAGTTTGGGTTTTTGTGCCATTAGGAGTTCACCATGCCCCATCCATCCCACTGGCCCCAACGGGCTCAGCTGAGGGAGTCACTGGAGCCGGGCTCCTCAAGCCTGGAGAGGAGCCATTAATAAAGGATGGGGCTGTGTGTGGGGTGACAACTGTACATGCCTCACACCAGCCCTGGGCCTGAGCCTGCTTACATGATCCTGGTTCCTTGTAATCTCTGAGCTAACTCCATTGAGACAGAGAGTCTTAGGAAGGGGATAACATGGGTCCATGACATTTAAATTTCCTCATTGAGGTGCACGTGCAGGGAGGGGAAGGTAACATCCCAGAGCTGGGGGTGCAACTAACAAGCTAATATTTGTACAGCACTTGCAGGACTTACAGTTCCATTGTATTGCTAGGTCGGTGGTGCAGGGGAGCAAACGTCAGTAATTGACACAGTTCAGGGACAGGGCAGGTTGAGGTAACAGTATTACTGACACACTGTCAGCCAATAGCATGGGCTCAGTGTCCCTTCCCTCACATTCCCCAGCCTCCGGTTTTGCAATAGAAACCCAGCAGAGAAGGTCTGCTAACAGGATCTGATCAAGGGCTTTGTTCCAGGTGAGCCAGAGGGGCTGATTGGATTGGGGGCGTTAAGACAGGGCACCAGAGCCAGAGCAGCCAGAGTGACCTGAGTGAGTAGCCAACAGAGGAAGTTTGCCTGGAAGTTCACCTTGGAGAGACGCACTGTAGGGTAAACTGAGTCAGTCCATGGTATCTTGCTGAGAACTGAGTACTCAAATCATACAGACAGGCAGTTACTGTGATCCTGGTTCCCCTGGCAACTACATTCCAGAGAGGCCTCTCTCTCTGATAAGGCCTGGCTGGTACCAGCCAGACTGCGTGGTTTTCTCACTGTCTCCTGTAACTTCAGATTAATCAGCTTGGATCCCAAGGACTGTGCCAACACAAGGAAGGAGTCATCTCACAGTAGACATCACAATTTCAGCAAAACAAGCTAACAGCAACATGTCCATTTTGGGGCTGCCATCCTCTTTATGTTGGCTCATTTAGCTTGTTACAAATAACTACCTGTATTAGTGATAACGGCTACATCTACATTGGCACCCCTTTCCGGAAAAGGGATGCTAATGAAACGAGTTGGAATTGCAAATCCGCGGGGAATTTTAATATCCCCGCGGCATTTGCATTTACATGGCTGCCGCTTTTTTCCGGCTTGGGGATAAGCTGGAGAAAAGCGCTAGTCTAGACATGATTCTCCGGAAAATAAGCCTTTTTCCGGAGGATTTCTTATTCCTACTTGAAAGTTTAATGTTTAATTGGCAATGGGTGGAGATACTGTGTAACTTTCGTAGTTCATTGGCTTATGTGCATATCTCATTTCCGCTGCTAGACCTATCAAATCACTTCCCCTCCGTCCATCTGCTACCTATATAATCTAATGTATGTTTTGGTTACGTTAGTGCTCACCAGGCTAACCCCTGATGGGTACT